CCAATCAGAATCAAGCATTCCAGAGAGCCGTGTAATAATACTATATAATGACTGTATGAATTGTGATTATGTTCCAGGAAAAGGGTGATGGCTGTGTTGCAGGAGATGCTTGTCCTACCCAACACCCCCACCTCGCTTGTGTCTCTGCTGGTGGAAAAGCTGGTCACTGTCCTTAACGATGATGAGAAAAGGATACAAGTTGTAAGTTAAATTTTATTTAATCCGGTGACATTTCATCTAATGGCGAATAAGCTGATTTACATTTTTTTTGTGTGTATACAAAAAAAAATAGGTTGCAGAAATAATCTCTGATGTTCGTGAACCAATTGTGCCAGTCAGTAGTGCTGTTGATGAAAACGAAATCAGGAGAAGGCAAGTTAGGGTGAGTATCTTACATTTATATTCTTCTTGCCAGAAGCGATCAAAATAAAACGTCCTGCTGTAATTTGTGATGTTTTTTATGGTGGTAACTGGTTATAACCATTATTTCATCAGTATCATTGCATGTAACTAACTTCTAAAATGAACTGTCATTCACAAACAATGAATGTAAGGCTGAATACATGATTAGTGTTTTTTTCCCCCTCACATCAATTAGCTTGCAGAGGTCAAGGTTAAGATTTTTGAAGCCAAACAGGCACTTGAGGAATGCATTGCTTCTCAAGAATTCAGCCGCGCTTCAGAACTGAAGGATTCAATCACTGAGCTAGAAAACCTGAAGAATCAGCTAATGAAAGAAGCAGAGCTGCCAGAGGTGAAAGAAGTTCGCGTGGAGAAGGTAAACCTAACAACACGTGGCCTTTTTTTGTTCTTTCAATTGCTGAGACCATTTATGTATTTTCCTTGGTGTGTTTCTGCAGGATTCTGAACTATTCTTGAATACTAATTTAAAGTTTTAGCCCTCATTAATGCTACAAGAGGTCAAGAGGAGATGGCAAATCATAATTCTCAAAAAGACTGACATGTCCACAAACCACTAAAACTGTTTTTAAAAAAAAGTTTATTCTCTTGGATGGGATTAAAATGTTAGCAGCTAGTTGTGGAAAAATGCTGCGCTTCAGTTTTATTGCAGTCATTCGGCAGCCTTTTAAAACCTTAGTGCACTTTGGAGAATGCGCACAAATGCAGTGCTTTCAGACGAATTGCCGGAGAATTAATCTCCTATATTGTACTATATTGTTGGAAGGAAATGCGTACAGTAGCTGTAGCTTTCCTGATACTGTGCTGTGCTTGGTGTTAAATGAAGGCATTTCCACATGCATGGAATTGACAAACAAAGCTGAGTCACCTTGTCCCATCTTCAGTGACCTTTTTGCTTATAGCGTCTGCTTTCAGAACATGAAGTGTATTCCTCTCTGACTTTAGGATATGAGCAGGAATCCGAAAGAAATATGAAGGTTACAGTCTCAGAGTTTCTTTAAACACTACAGATGTTAATACTGTCTATACTACACAATAATGTCTACACTAGTACGTAGCTGAAATGGAAGTCTGGAAATTAACAGTATTATTTTGTCCCTTTTTAAGAATGACCCAGAGACCTTGTTGAAATGCCTGACAATGTGTGCTGAGCTCCTGAAGCAGATGTCAATTAAGAAAGGCATTGGGCCCACAATGAATGGCATCCTTGAATCCTTGGTATGTGTGGTGCTTTGAGGGATTGAGGGGATCTCTATACTTATTCAGCCAGCTAAGAATAAAAGATGAAAATCATATATACTGCTTATGTATTTTGAATATATCATAATATTAATGTTGTATTTCAAGTTTTCAATTGCTGTCACTTGTAACGTGCATTTGTAAAGAAGTCTAAATCTCAGTCCCATATGAATGGTTGGGTTTATGTGCTAAAAAATGGATCCATCTTACATTTGTTGTTCTAGATCTTGCCAGGCATTGCCTGCGCCTCTCCTGCAGTGCGCAACATGGCTGTTATCTGCCTGGGCACCTGTGCTCTCCACAGCAAGGATCTTGCAAATCGGCATCTGGTCCTTCTGCTGCAGGTATAGCGAAAATACACACAAGTAAATGAAGGTTTCGTGTAATTGGATTTTTTTGTTTTTCCTTCACCTCAGATTGATTTAAAAGAAACATTTGCGATTCACCCCCCAGATCGCGCAGCTGGATGAGCCAAAGATCAGAATAAGTGCTCTGAGAGCTGTAATCGACCAACTGCTGCTCAATGGCCTGGAGATAGTCAGGCAAAAGTCCCCTCGTACCCCAGCAGACGATTCTGGTTCTGAAGACGGTGATGCTGAAAAAGAAAAAATGGGGGATGATGTGAAAGAAAGCGATGATGAGCAAGACACAATCCAGAGCATTCTCCTGATGTTCTCTGAGTTTCTTGACAGCGAGGTATTTCATGTTACTATGAATTGCTTTTGTATAAGGGTATAATGCTGTGATATAAACATTCCACAATTTGGTGTCGTCCCCCCCCCCCCAATCGGGTGTAGCTGCTTAAGCTCTCATTGTCACTAATGTTAACTAAATTCAAATCACTTTTATTTATCCCCATGGGATGATTAGAAAAGTCATTTTTCGTTTCTCAATTTACACTAACACATGTAAATCACAAAATTATTATTCTGTTTAAAGTTAGGGCAAGCTGTATATTTTGTGAATATTATGCATTACTTGGACTGCAATTGTCTCATACCATTTCATCCATCATTTTCAGTTCGGTACACAATGAAATTAAGTGAATAAAAGTATTCAATAAGCAGAATGCATTCACAAGTAGATGCAGATGTTCAAAATGGGAAAATATTAAGCTAATTATGGTTAATGCAGTCATAATCACCTTTTTTTGGAACATTTTGGTTTCCCAATAAAGAACAGTAATGCTGAAGAGTGTAGTTAATAGACCAATACTGTCGACTATTATCCCACATCTCCACAAATATGCAGTCACACTAGATGGTAGAGAGCATGGGGTTTAGAGAGGATTTAGTTCATTATGATTATGCTGAGACCCTGAATAGGACAAGCAGGTATAGAAAATGGATGGATAGACTGACGTTCATTTTTCAATCTATTTTACATAGACCTATTTATGTTTACAGTTTGCAAATAACCTAACAGATGCTTTTATTTAGCACCAAACTGTGAATCCAAACCAGCAACACGTACCGAACTGTGAATTTTGTGTAATGTTACTCCCCGACTTTGTCCCACAGCCATGTTGATTTCTTGTTTTATTATTATTTCTATTATTAAGATACCAGAGCTCAGAACAGAGGCTGCAGAAGGTCTGGCCAAACTGATGTATTGTGGAAGGCTCTCCAGCATGAAGCTTCTGTCCCGGCTCGTCCTCCTGTGGTACAACCCTGTCACCGAGGATGACACCCGTCTTCGTCACTGCCTGGGGGTCTTTTTCCAGGTGTACTCCCGTGATAGCAGGTAGGGGCTAATCTCTGCACATGAGCTGAATATGCTTGGAGCAGTAATATTAGGTGTGCTGAACTTCAAACTGCATTTTTATTATTCATTAGATCCCATCAAGAGTGCCTTGAGGAAAGTTTCCTGCCAACTTTGCAGACTCTGTTAAATGCTCCTGCCACATCACCCTTAGCTGAAGTGGACGTCTCGAATGTAGCCGAACTTTTCATTGAACTGACGAGACCCAGTGCTTTAATTAATCCCAACAGAAGCTCTAATTTTCAAGTGAGTCCTTAGACAGTCTCATTAATGATTTAATAGCGTTCGTTTTGACATGCCAAAATGTCTGAGATGTAGATGAATGCTGTTCATTTAAATGATGTGCTGTAGCCGTAGGGACTGAGGTATTGTCAGATTGCTTTGTCTTCATCCCAACATTTTTTTTTCTCCCCCCCTCATCTCAAGGATATCTCGGTCCATGACTGCTTGGCAGTCCGTCTCTGCAATGAAATTTTGAAGGACCCCACCGCACCTGAGGGGCGGTTATATGCAAAGTGTCTTACCACTCTGGAGCTGAGCACGGAGGACTGCACGTCAAAGAAGGACCTGCAGCTGCTTCTGGATGAAGTCTGCCAGGTTATAGCTCTGCATTAATGGTCTCATTAAATGTACTTAATTTAGTTTTGACAGGTCAGTTCAATTTGAATTTGGTGTATTTATGCATTTGCATTTGATTTACAACTTGTTTCCCATTCCTCTGTATAGAACGTAAAGGACAAAGTATGTCTGAGGGCAATTGAAAAAGTCATATGCCAACTTAATGGAGGATCTAAGGGCAAGACTTCAGTGACTCAGGATGAGCTGTCCAAAGTTCACACACCAGATGACACCAATCAAGGTTATATCTCATTTCAGTTTTCTGTGTATATTAGTCGTGGCAAAATTATTTAGCTAAAAAATCCTTTAATATGCCTACTAATGAGCATAATACTCCTGTCAAAGTATTTTGTCTAGTATGTGGAAAAGGAAAAAAGTAGCAGTGATTCACCATTGTGTTGAGCAGCAGTATTTTTTCCTTTTGTAAGCTAAGCAAAGGTTTAACGCTTCATACAGTCCTTGCAGAGGCTGAAAATTGTGAAGAGGAAACAAAGTCCACTAAACGACCAAAAAGAGGTATGGATTTTATTGTAGATGTTAAATATTTCTTCCTTGAGCCATTTAGGCTATATAGAGGAAAATTGAGACAATGTTTTTTTTTAAAAAAAAACTGATCCGTTCCATGGTCTGCAAAAAGATTTGATACATAAGTTTCTTGAAAGATTATTGTCCTTTATTTACAGAGCTCTTGGTAGGTTGTTTTATAATGTATATTTCAGCCTTTTAATTATTGCCAGTTGTAAATAATATTAACATAAGATTAAGCATAGTACACTTAAACATTTGGTTTAAGAATCCTGTAACCCTGGGTGAAAAGCCATGACCCACAGTTTTTAAATTTGTGGACGATTCTATTTTAGGACGACGGACTACCACTGCCAAAACAGCAAAGAAAGGAAGTAATGTGAAGGAGACATCGGACAGGTTTGGCTGCTCTGCATTTAGTCTTTCTAGTCCTATTTAGGCTACAATTTAAAAATGTAATAATGATTAATTGCCCAGTCAGCCCAGCTATAATCAAACTTTAATTTCAACTGATTTCGGCTTCCAAATTCAGCATCATCACAAAAACAAGAAAACGATTGTCCTGTTATAAATTGAGTGCAGCCCTTTCCATCTCCTTTATATTTGCTTCTCACTTGCATTATATTTCAAGTTAAAGTAAATCCACTTAGACTTAAGTTTAATAAATGCATATTTCCAGATAGACCAAAGTAATATTACTTATAATTTTTGCCATAATGAAGCAGCTCTACTGCAGAGTGTTATCAGGTGGTGTGTGTGTGAGTGTGTGAAGTTATGCTTGCAAAACAGAATAGCTTGTTCTTGTGTGCTCTACATTTCCAGTGATGGGGAGAAGATACCAGAGGCAGCTGCAGCCCCCCGGGCATCTCGTCGGGCAAAGATGGCAGCAATGGAAAAAACCAAAATGGACCTAAGCGTCCTGATGAACAGAGAAGCAAACTGATATCTAGAGTGAAAGATGCCATTATGTTTTATACATCCTTCAAGTTTAATAAAGAGTGCTCATTTTAACACAATTCAGTAATGATTTTTGAGAAGCTTATTTTACTAGTTTCTATTAAAGGTGTGTATAAAACATGTCATTCAGAACAAATCATTGCATGTGGTAAATTACATAATATATTTTAATGCAAATTTAATCTCCCCATAAGGTTGCATTAGAATTGGAGAATGAGCACAGCTGAAACAGCAGCCCAGTTCTGGATTTGAAAGATTGACTCAATATTCAATCTTACTGAATGTTCTGTGGAAGAATTGCATTGAACCTGTAATCGCATCTTTTCATGTATTAAACTGTCCTTGAAGTAAACTAATTTCACTTCAAATAAAATTTCATTTTAATGTGCGGTATATGGTAACATCAATTTTTAAAAACTTTCCAGACTAAACCTGTGTACAATAGAAATCGGTTGCATATTTAGGCCTAATTGTGTTTTAATAGTTGAATACAGCATTTTTTTTTAAAAGTCTTGTATTTTCTTGTGGTTTTCCCATTTAAGATCTTTGAGACTTTACTGGGGTACATTTAAGGCCATGTCTTGGATGCTGTTTTTGTCTCAACCTTGACTGGGATCTGTTGATGAATTTAATGACATTTCAGTAAAACCCAATGCACACTGAGAATGCAGAGTTTTATTTATACGTCATTTGCGTTCCTTGGACACCATTAAATTTAAAGGATTCAGGAAGCTAGAGGCATAGAACTGTGGTCTCAAATCCAGGGTTCTGAATTTAATCAGCATTGTATTCATTTTCTGTCAGAAATGGCTATAACGTGTGGTACCTTGTGATGGACTGGCATCCCATGAAGTGTAATTATGTCTTCTGCCTCATGAACGTCCTGCACGATATCCCTACATAAGAAAAACCAGGGCTCAAAAATAACTGAATCCAATATTTAAAATTTCAGAATGAACTAGCACTCAACATGCATTATTGCTAATCATTCAGTCCTTATTTTATTGCACAAGAACTCAGTTCAAAACAGAACAGTCATGGGGCCTTGCCCAGCACATGTTCAGATTATTTAAATCAGATTGCTGTCATTTAGACCACTTAAGGCATAAAGTGATCATGAAACCCTGATGTTCATGTAGCAAAATCAGCAGCTACAAAATCACTTTTCTAATAGCTATGACCTTTGACGATCCTACATTTACCACCTAATTACATTTTAAACAAGTTACATTCAGATTACGATAAAATAAAACAAAAGTAAACTAAAATTTTAAGTCATTGTCAATATCTGACAATAAGATCTACACAAAAGTTCTCCTGAACTAGAACAGAATCATTGTGATAGACTATTATCTCATCCAGGCTGTTTCCTGCCTTGTGCTCCTCATGGTTGGAAGATGAATGGATCGAACAGAACCAGCACGTACTTCGAGCTGATATTACTTAGCCACAAATGGCAGAATGAAGTTTCTGAATAATGAAAACATCTTAAACTACTATCACGTTAGCATATAAACATACACACACAGTGCAATATTCAAATGCAGTAACATAATTCACTAAGATTTGACAATGTATGGTTTCACAAGTCGGAATGTTTCATGAAGGTTTATTAAAAAGTGACAAATGACTTCTATACCCACTACAATTCAACAGATTAACATCTGATTTATTAAAACTGCAATTGTGTGTATGCTTGGGTTGGCTACCACAAACAGCAACAGATGTGTGTTTGACATTCAGAAAAAGGTAAAAGCAAAAACAGCATTTCTGAGGACAGTTTTCTTGGCATTTGTTTCTTTTTTTAATGTTAATCCAGTGTAATTTCATTTTAACCTCCTCAGTCCCAGGCCGTTTTTTGGTGTGCATGTTTTATTTCCTTTAGCTATTTGGGATTAGTAGCACCTCATAATCATACAAACCAAACATTATTTATTTTGAACAATTAATAGTTTTAAACAAAAATGATGTCCTTGTATGAGGACGTAGGGTCTCAGGAGGTTAAACTAATTCTTGGAGGTGTTACTGTTGGATGGGCTACTTTTTTTTTTTACAGAAAAGTAATAAAGTAGTAGAGTTTAAGTCAGTTTGGGTGAATATTTTAATTGAACTTATAGTAGTCCATGAAAAAACAAGTCACTGATAAATTGGTGTCTATTAAAATTGTCATTGGATGATTGTATTATATTTAATTGATGTTACTAAATTCAGTGGCAATCTATTAAATTGATTATGTACAGGGACATAGCAAACCTAAACATTTTACATACAATCCTTTTGTTACCTTGAAAATAAAACTGGCAACTGTCCTCTAGGATGGAAATGGGCTGTTCGACCAGAAGCACAACACATATGAATGACGTGTTACATGTGATGTAAAAATTAAGAAAAATATGTAAAATTGTGAGAAGTCTAAATATAAAGCGAGTCTGAATGAGTTATAGCTGCTTATATTATGCCAATAAAGCAATAAAAGTAAATGATTCAAAGATATATTAAATTATTTTCCCTTAATTTCCAGTGCTCTTTCACATCTGGTTCAGTTTTCATAAAAGATACATTTACAATGAAACAAAAAACGTGTGTAGTGTAAAGACAATGACCATTGATTTAAATTAAAATAGTTTACCACACTTTTTTGCTGATTGGCTTGGAAATTTTCATAGCTGCATACAGTATGGATGATCACGTAAAAGTAGTGAACCCATAGGCATACTATGCACAAATGTGGCTTCAACTAAAGTGTAGCTATTTTTGTCTGAGGTTTTCAGGATGCCTGTGTAAAAGAGGTAGGCTTATTATTGAGACGCAGACAACAAGTGAAATTACTCTAAACTATAAGTCAACCAAGTTATAACACAAAATGAATAACTAACATTTAGAAAAGTTATTGGCATCAAAAAAACATTAAAAGCTTTTAATAAAAATGATACACCATCTGGCTTAAATAAGTAAACATATTGCACCTATAGAATATCTTGAGACATTAGAATGGTGGTAGTGAAAGCTATGGTTTCTACTGAAGGATTTGATATAGTGCAACAAAGGTTTTGTTTGTGTCACTTACATTAGTACGTTAATGCTCGGAGGCTGGGGAGTTTTGACAGTATTCAAGCAAATTCTTCAAATCAAACACAAAAAAATAATAAACCCCCAAAAATACCCTCCTCCCCATATAGATGCATATGACAATCATTTACTTAGGTGAACCGTTCTATGGTACTGCCAAATTCTTTTGGGAAAACTGCATACCTCATATAATTTGCAACAACAGAACATTTCATGCATATTTCTTTTGGCAAAAGTTAATGCACATTTTAAAAGGGTTGCTCTAAAATGAATCCTTGATTGGTGTAGACCTAGACAGACTACATTAAAACCTGCAATGTCCAAAAGCAATAGTCAGATTTGTACATTGATTTTTCGGGTAATGATATGTTTGAGACCTCAAATATTTTTAAAGATCAACCTGAGGTATGCCATTATGGCAATTCCTGTAGCGCCTATTAAAAAAGTCCTTCATGAATTATGGCCATTCCGTAAAACATTACTAATTTATTTCCTTTTATGATGGGAATACCTTTTTAATAATACTTTAAAAGTACTATCCAAACAAAAAAAGTGACAAGCTACTCTAAAAGCATACAAACATAACTACATGAAATTAAAAAAAAAAACACAATACAAAATAGTGCAACCTTAACATATCCTTAATTTTAATTTATGCTACATAATGCTTACTGAGATATTACTGTCAGATTTCTCAACCAGCAGACAATTTGAAGGCACCTTGTACTGAAACAAGTTTTATCTTGTCGAATGCATCTCACCAAGATGGTTTCCTGGTTATTTGGAGCTTTCTGCAGAGGAAAAAAAAGGTTACATTAGGAAAACACACACAATCTATATTATATATATTCCACCCCACCCCCCCAAAAATGTGGCTTCCAATAGCAAGTAATTATACAGCTGCATTGTTTTTCTGTATGAAAAAAATATGCAATGGCATCTACACACTGACATATGCACACAAAGACTTGATTATTTGGAACAAACATACCCTTTCTTCCCTTCTAGCTGCTGATCAAAGATTGTCTTGCCATTTTCAGAGGTTGTGATCCACTTGTGCCATGGCTTTTTCGTTTTTGTTTCTTTCGATTTCTGAACTGAATCTGGTCTTCTTCAGGACAGTATGAAGACAGCATTCTAGGGGAAGGCCTGCTTTCAGTTCTAGCTACATGTGCTATCTCCTTTCTGACATGTCTCTCTGCACATTCTGTTCTTGGAGGCAAACAGTACCCGGATGATGATACATCATCTAGTTTAATTGTGCAAAAATTACATTCTTCAGCTGCAGATTTTGTTTCCGGAGAGTTGATTTTCTTGAGGAATACTCTGCATTCCTTCAGTCGTTCTGGGCTCCAGGTTCTTGAGCAGATTCTCTCTTCCTGGGAAACATCAATCAAGGTCTCTTCAGGTTGTTGGACTCCGAGTTCTTTTCTTTCCATGTTCAAAGAACAATTTTCTGTCTCTAAGGTAGATGCAAATGCCTGCCGAAACGCTTTCGATGGTAAATCACCACAAAGAGCATCAGATGCCCTTTTGAGCATTGGCCAGGTTCGATCGTGACACGATTTCTTTCTAGTCATGAACTTTGATTTTACTCTTAAGAGAAGAAATCCGTATTTTCCTAGCATTTTGTGTCTAGGCAGAAGACGTCGTTGGCCAAAGCCCCTAACAATTGTGCTTGATCTTAGAAGAACAAGCCTTCTCTTGACTTTTAGCTGACCAGCGTTAAACATCCTCTTTTGTGCTTTTAGTTGCATTGCTGGACTCTTAGGGACTATTTTGGCAAACTTTTTTACGTGCTTTCTCAGGCGTTCTGCTTGAGGACTAGGACAAACATTGGTTCTGCTTGTGGCTCTGATGGGATTGTACTGGACAAATTCATAGGGATTACGGACACTGGCCTTCTTTACAATTCCTAGAGACTGAGTCTCTGTGGTTTGCATAAACCAAGCACAAAGTTTATCCATATTCCAGTGTGTCTGAAACAGCATTTTTACAGGAGAAAAATAATTCTTTGGAGGCTCATTTTCTGTTTGATGCATTCTCGTTTTGAGATTAAGCTCCTTCTCTGTGGAAAAAGAGTTGCTTGATTCTACAGACTCTTTGACCCATGTGTCTGACATTAGTTGAACCCTCCTGGTTAACTCGTCATTCAATGTCTCAGTTGAGATAGAAGTATGCCACCATTTGAAAGGTTCATTTGATGTGAAAATTGAATCCACTGAAATTCCAGACAAAAAGCTTAGGTCCTGCCCGCAAGGATTTCTTGAAAACAATTCTGAATTTGTAGTACCTGACGTTTCTACAAAAGGTTTTTCAAAACTTTTGAACTGGTTTGACTCACCACTGGTTTTGTTCATAAGCAATTTTCGAGACCTCCGTAACAGTGCATTACTGCGCGTGATTGTCCTGGAGGTAGCCACAGAGTGTAGCAAATGAACCGATGGTTTCCTTATTCTCACAGAATGTCTAAGTGGTACCAGAATCTTTTGGTTCATAGTTCCACCTTGTACATTCTCAGATTTTTCTCCATCAACAGCATCAGACTGCAAACTGATTGTCGTTTGCTCTTTGGGATGGTTTGAGACAAATGGTTTCTCATTATTCAATTCTGTCATATCCTTGTCTATACAAATATTTCGTTTTTTTGGAGAAACTGTTGTTACAGTCACAGAGATGCCTGATATCTTAACCTTTGGCGGCCTCCCTGGTTTTCGCATTGCACCTGAACACTTCTGTTCTGTACATTTGATGTTTCTGCTTGAATGTGATCGTTTGTTTTTTACAGGTATGACCAAATCAAAATGTTCAGTTGGTCCACCCAGCAGTTTGGCAGATGACTCAAGATTTGCACTTGACCTTACAGAATTCTCATTCAGATCATTGTTTGTTTTACAGCCATATGCACTTTGCAATCCTTTCATTTGTTGGTCTGTACCAAAATGTCCACTGCTTTCAGATACAAGCCTCCTTATTCTCCTTGATCTTCCATAAACTACAGTGATTTTGAGGTTTTTATTTCTTCTCCCACCATCCTCATCGTGTGAATGGCATGCCATGTTTTTGACAGTATTAGGGCTGCCCTTACTTGAAACACATTTTGAAATGTCACCCTTATGTTTAGGTGGTCGACCAATCGGTCTCTTTGCTGGCTTTTCAATTTGTGGGCCGAGTTTTTTGGGGCGACCAGGCTTTCTTTTTGGAGGAGACAGTGATAGTCCATGAACAAGGAGGCATGCCTCTCTTTGAATGTCAAGCTCTTCACTTGAACTAGATGCATCAGTAGTGACCGGCCTTTTATGCGGACTATTTTCTTCTCCTCTAGCAAGTCTGGGCTCAACCTCGACTGATTTTTCTTCAGTCTTTGCCAGTCCACACCATGATGATTCCACACAAGGATCAAATGTCTCTGGTTGACTTACAGAGCCCGAACTAGCTGACTTGAGAGAATACTTTATTCCCTCCTCACTAATAACTGGAGATACAAACATGAGTCTTATTGGACTTGAATATGGAGTAAGAGAACATTCATTGGTACTCAAAGCATCTTTCATGGTGTTAATGCCTTCTGACAAATTGTTCAGGTGGTTCTGATCATTAGTTATAGATCTCAATTTAACCAAGGAAGCAACTGTTCTTCGTTTTGACCTTCTCTGGAAACCCTCTTTGACTTCACTATCATCAGATGTGTTGTCTTCCAACTGAAGCGGACTCATTTTTGCTGATCTAGTTCTGGATGTATTTGATAGATTAAAGTCTGTTGATTTCAGATCGTTACATATGTTTTCTCCAGATCTCCCTGCATGCCTCACAGTCTTAGATAATTCATTCTGCAGGTTCAATTTAGTTGTGGATTCATTTAAATCTAAGTCTGATAGGGAGTTTTCAGCACAAATATCTTTTGTATCTTTCTGGCCTCTTTTATTAAAAATGCTTTCAGAAAAACAGGCAGCAAAGTACATCTTTCTTGGCTCAGTGACATATGCAGAAAATCTCTGTGGCGGAACAATGTTCCTCCTAGATCTACTTGTATCAGTGACAGGCTGAAGAGACAAACTTTGTTTTTTTATATCCGTGTTCCCTTTCCTACATTTTGTGCCTTTCAGATCTTTTCCCTTGTGTTCAGGTGATTTTTCCTTGTTTTCTAATCTGCTACAGAACAGTTCAGTGTGGTGTGGAGAGACCCGATTGTCACAAGTGTGTGTCGTTTCACTCTTTCCACTTTCTGAAAGCTTGTCCTTCTCCGGGCTTGTCAGCAATACATTCACACAAGATTGTGTTTTAAAGTCATCTCTCACAATAATTTTTCCCTGCGTTTCAAGTTCCAGCTTTCTTCTGCAGGGTAATGGACCCAGACTAACATCTCTTCTGATTTGCACACACTGATGCCAAGAAGGGGCCAGGTCAGGAGATCTTGCTGCATTTAAGGTTTCTTGCTTCCTATGAAAACGCTCCTTAAGGTGGCAATCATTATCGGATTCCTTGTGTAAAATCGTAGTTAAAATTTCCTCCAAGTGAACGCCGTTGCCGCATGCCAAGCTTTGGTTGGCAGAAAGTCCTGAATTTTGTTCTTTTTCCAGTGGTTCAATAGGTTTCAATTGCTTGAAACACTCCATTAGATTTTGTAATACATTCCCACTTTGATTTTGTTCAAAGTTCTTTCCTGTTCGTGTACAACAGTCAGTGCAGTCTTCGCAAGGAGAATGCTTTTCAGTCTCTTCAGTGCTAGCATTGTCTTTATCAAACTCATGAAAGAGGGGATCGTCTTCCTCTTCATGCAAAAAAAGAGATGCCGACTGGTTGCTGAAACACTTGCTTTCTGCAAAAGGGCAGATAATGCTTGTATCGCTATTCTTAGCACCAACATCCAATGGAACGGGGGACAGAGGTGGAGGACAGGGGCTAAACGAATCACAGACTTTATGAAGAGTAAAAGGAGAGCTCACTACACTTCTGACTGGAGTGATGTATGTGCACTTGCTGAGGCTCTGATAAGTGCATGTGCATTGCTGAGGATGAGAATAGCTGCCACACGAACTAGGACCACAGACTTTGTTAATGCAACCGATAGCCATCCTTTGGCACGAGAAGTAATGCAAATTCTTCAGGCAGATGCACACAGGAGTCATAGAACAAGAATTCAGCCTACAAGAATGCACACAGCATCCATCTGATGTTTGGTAATCTGCAAAAGCAAACATGTCTTTATCAGAGTTCTGTCCCAAATGACAAGACAAGGAATCTGCCTGTGATAAAGGTCTGCAGCCATCTGCGTAGGGAGTGACCGAAATGACGTAATCTTCATGCATGCACTTTAAGATATGATAAAGCAGCATCCTATGGCATGGGCAGAATGATGAAAGGACCATCTGCAGGACGGTACACTTGATTTGAAACTTTTCTGCTTCTGTAGCCAAGTGGACTTCCTCACCACCAGCCAGGGCCAGGGAGCTATATGAAAAATGCAGGAATACAGATTGTTACGTATAAGTTTCTACAGACTTATGAAAATGTGTTTGTATATATTTAGTCTAAACTTGTGACCAAAAAACAACTTCCAGATTCACTAACAGGTATCACAGAAGCTAAACAAAGTTATAGCAGTAACATTCATATTTAAAAATCTGCCTGTAATTTACTTGGAGACTTAGTCACAAAACAGTTCTAAATATGCCAGTCCAAAGCAGGACGTTACATAAAGTAATGTAAATGAAATGATGAATCACACATTAGGATGTCATCTGTCCTATGAACTGGGTGAAAATAAGCACCACTTATTTAGTCATGATATAATCTGTTTATGCTCTGGAGACTGTATCAGTATTTCCTAATATCAGACAACCTTGGACTGGTTACAAAACAATTTATGACATTAATCCTCTTTACAAAAGTTCTAAGTGTATCAGCTTCAAGAAAGACTTATTGTGCCTTATGGCAAACTGAAAAAACCTGAAGACATTGCTCCGAATCTACAGAACCATGAATTCCAGTTATTCTTTAAGTCATAAAACTTACATTTTACTGGCCGGCCATTTTTTAAATTATTTGATCTCTACGATTACGTGGTTCAGGTTTCTGTATATTCTACTTTATATCAAACATATTCAATATGCTGTTGTTTACATGCTATACAGTTCCATACAAATACTGTGGATACTAAAGTAGAACTGGCAATAATACAAACCCACATTTGAACCCATGTAATATATGCCAATACAGTTTCATTATAAACCACATCTTAGAAATTCTGGAAAATATTAGTCAATGCAAGTGACTGGGAATAAAAAGTTCAGATTAACTGAAGAAAGTGCTCTTGATAAATGGCCATTAACCTACATTTCAGTTTCAGCAGATAGCACACTGGACAGTATTAAGCACTCCACAGAATAAAGTATTAATAAAGGAGCTGGAATACAAAACATCCATAATTCAAAGCACTGCTGAATTGTGTGCATCACCCAAGCAAATGGTAGTTTGTAGCAACAAAAAAGCACATTAGTAACCCGCCCATCTGATTTGGGAGTCTGAAGTGTCACATTCATGACATAAGATTGAGGTCAACACAGGGTTTCAGGTTACTCTTAACATAACTTTATTGACAAGTTGCAGAAGGCAAAGGATACCGATTGTTGCAACGCTCAAAACTATAAGAAAATGGTTATACATCCAGTTCCTACTTTAACAAAAGTAATCTTTCACAACACAAATTATAACTTCAATACACTGACAAGACCAAAATGAATTTCGCAAGCAATGCGTCAAATTTCAAAAAAGTAAACGTTTACATTAAACATTAAAATGCGAGAAATATTCTAAGGAATTAACAGAGGCCATGTATATTGGTTGAAATGAATTTAGCGTATTTTTCCAGAAAACAGTGACCAATAAGGAGTACTAGGAGCCTGGTCAATTAAGCCTATTAAGTCTCCTATGAATCAGCTGGAGCCTGTGGAAAAGTAACCAAAATGTAAAAATTCTGTTTTTAAAATATGGAGAACAGGAAAGATACTTCTTCAAATTATATTTTGTGAGAAGAGAAATGCACTTTATTAAGGAACAAGAATATCTGTGGGCACCCAGATAAAGATACTGATTTCAAATAACTATTATACGCATTATATAAAAGAATGTCATTCTATCACACTACATCAAAATCCTGTAGGGATTATTTCAAAACTGAAAATGTAAAATTTCTAGATAGTCATTCTCACTTATGGCTTTAAAAGCTCCTTTTACCTCTTTTCAAAAATGTACATCATCCATTAGCATTTTAGGTCTTTAAAGGGACACCAGAATTTTGAATTAAAAGTAGAGAACACTTAATCACATATGCATGCAATTGCAGTAAAACACATTTCACATTTCATGTGCAAAAGCATCAAAGTGCTTTAATACAAAACTAAACACAACCAAAGTATTAAATTCACATAATCAGACAATCACGAAGGGGGAGACTACAACACAGAACATTTACATAACCTAACAAACTTAATCATAGTGCAATTTATTTATGCATAAATAACATTACATTTGTTTGACCGCAAAATGAAATAGGGAAAACAAAAAAAAAACAAAAAAATGAAGGCTGTCACAAGTATGAGGATTGTGACAAATACTGCAGTTTAAACTCAGACAAAAATTAAATATCCATTTCCATATAAAACGGTCAATAGCTACCAAACTGTTTAAACAACCATTCTGAGCAGTAGTTCTAAAAAACAGAGGCACTGAGTTTTTATGAAAAGCTTATTAAAACATTCAAAGTAGCTATAAGTTAGAATACCATTGAAGCAGGATTTTTAGGGTGATTCAAGAATACCTCTGTCTTGTATCAAACTAGTGCCCTTTTATAAAGTTACATGTAAACAAAATACAAAAAAACTGAGATACAGGGACTAATCCATTCACATAGAAGTCAGAAAGGTATGGTGTTCTGAATTTGATTTCAGACTGAAAAAACTTCCAAGATCCATCCACTAATTTTTAACATAATCTAGAGGGTGAAAATTTGTCCTGCCCACCTAAGTTAACAATTATGAACTGTATAAAACAATATTTCAAGCAGCTTGTTTGTGGAGAGAAATATAAACCTGAATTGTAATTTTGGTATAAGCAGGATAGAGTCAACGATGCATTTGATATTTGGAAAACTATTGAAATATACATTTTCACAAAAGAAATGTAAATCACAGCAGCAGAGTTAAGTGAGGTTTACAGTAGTATTTTGTGGAAAAACCTTCATAAATACATATATACTTTATAAACTTCACACATTCATTAACTTACCATTCTCAAGTTTATTTCTGTGCACATTTTCAACATGCTTTACCGCATTCCGACTTACCCACTGTTTCTTTAGCTAAACCCATTTGAAATTTGATAAACTCATATTTCTTTAAATAGTCTGTCAAGTTAAAAAATGTAACTCATGGTGAACAAAGCCACCACAAAGTTTTTAAAATACTTCTCCCACTTTTTCCCTATTAGTACTACAGACTGAGAACATGCCAATAGGAATTTGTGCTACTGTTGGCATTTGGGGTCCCCATCAACAGCAGACAGTACCATGATTTGTTAAAACACACTCAAAGACTTGAGTGAGGCAAAACTGACCATGTTCCAGAATTAGTGCGAGTGGCTTTTAAACTGGATGACCTACCCAGAATGAAAGCTGCACATAACAATCATTAATGCTCAAAAAGACAAATTAAACCTGAATATTCCAGAAAAATGCAAGTATATACACACCCTAAGACAGTGTTTTACAACATCGATATTTATAATATATCCACAGTGAAAACCCTGAATAGCTCTGTTTAAAAGGCATGTGTTGTGTCTGAACTGTTTACTGAAAAATATCCTGTCAAAGCTTGAGAATTCAAGTGCTATGAGTAGACTTGAAATGAGGTCTAGAACCTTCCGGAGTTGTTTGTCCCTGAATCGGTCAGAGATTCTGACAACCTGGGCTTCTTTTTCGGCGGGGTCTTCAGTGTTCCAGAACGCTCCTTCACTTTGTACTCTAAAGTGCTGTGAGGTACTCTGTATATTCCTTGTGCTTTAGAGACACTCATCTTGCCACTCATGACCATTGTAATGGCTTCTTCAAGAATATCGTGATCATACTGCCGGTATCTGCCACGCTTTTTCCTGGGCTGTTTATCTCTCCGGTCCAGATCTTCGGCATCTTCGACGGAGCCATTTTTCGAGTTAAGACACAGCGGAGAAAGATCTGCTTGCATGAGACAGGATTCAATACCAGAGTTTAGAGGTACAGAACATTCCATTTTGTTCTGTTTGGGGAGTATGGTTTTGAGTTTTTGAAGAGATAAGCCATCTGGCACTGGTGCACCTTTTGACACTTGATACATTACATCTACGAAACTGGAGATGTCAGCTTGGGACTTGGGCACAGCACTGGCTCGTACCTGAGGGATTTTCAAATGAACTGCAGGACCATTCAAACTCTGAAAGCAAAGGCTTTCATTTTTCTCTTTTAGCTGAGAAAACATTTTCTGCAGAGTCAGGTGATGGAGGTAAGAAGAGGCTGCAGGCAACTTCAGCTCAGAGTTTTCGGTCGTGCCAAATTTTCCCTGCTGCGAGAGCTCCACTTCAGCTCGGGCCCAACTGGCCACTTTGCGCAGAACAAGGCGAGTCTCTCTGCTTCTTGAGACAAAAAGGTCATTCCCGTTATCCTGGCTGAAGTTTTCCAACACTGACAGTTTTCCTTCAGATAAGGCGTCTAGCTGGAGCAGCAGTGTTTTCTGAGGTATGCCATATAGTATGGCCGCTTTGTGAATATCCAATGATCCTGACTGAACGTCTTTCAAAGCTTTTGAAAGCAAACCTTCCGAAAATTCAGAGCTTCTTTCCACAAAGTCATCTTTCTGCGGTCTCCTAAGATGGATGGAATGAAACGATGGTAAGCTGACGCATGACAGACTGGTAAACAGCTACGGAATGGAAGGGTCCACTCCTTTATTCCTTGCTTTGGTAACATCACTGCTTCTCACATTGCTTTATGTCTCTGAGCTGTGGCGTAAATTGCTTTAAGTTGCAAACGTTAGTCCTGGAAGGACAGCCTGTCAATCGTGCGGTAACAATGTTTATGATAGCACTTCCAGTATTTTGTTTTTTTGCAATTCAGCAGAATTTGTATTTCAAAGACTCCAATAACTTCATGGCTTAGAGTAAAAAAAAAACAAAACAAAAAACAAAAAAAAAACGAAGGTGTACATTATTGCTGATATTGTCCTGAACTGCTCTCCACTGTGACGTTACCGCTGAACAAGTAATAAAAGAGTCAAACCCTTGATATTACAAAACAGAAACCAAAATAAAACCTCTAAGAATAAAAGGTTGCATTGCCAATGAAGACATAAAACAAATCAAGAGCACATGCAAATCTTGATAGGAAAAAAAAAAAAAGTAAGTTTATCAATGAGATTGGCATTGAAAACCTCATCCTTTGAAATGGCAAAGGAGTTGTCAAGCAAGTGACCACATTCAGTACAATTTAAGCTGCCAAAGATGGTCTGCGATATTTTCAATATACAATGTAGGTATTAAATGTGATATTTCAGCACTCCCAATACAGAAATAATTCCCAACATATGTATGTTATGTTGTCCCATCAGTGAAGCCAGTCTCAAAAAAGACTGACAAATCAGAGTGCCTAATACTGCCCTTTAACAATGACGTGTAATTAAGAACATTATTTAAAAATAAAAAAAATAAATAAAAAAAAGACCGTACTCACCCTGAAGTGTTCTGATTAGTGGATGCATTTGAACATGTTGACAATGTGGAGCTGGAACGATTCTTCTGTGAGAGGTCAAGCACGCCACCTGCTAAATAAACAGATTAAAAAAAATTAGATATTGCATCTAAATACCTTAATCGGTGCTTTTAAACATTTAAATAAGGACAAGCAAGCACATCAACTAAACATTAACACACTAAATCTACATCCTATTGGATAGCATGTGAAAACATATTCAATACTGCCGCAGAAAGATGATTGGTTTACACACAGTTGTTTACCTTGTTCAACATTCAGATGGTTTCGATTCACAGTAAGGTCCAGTGGTCCATCTTGGTCTGAGGGATGCCGACTGTCACAAACTAAATTCGTATCCAGCGACGACCCATTTTTTCCTCCTTGAATTTGACTTTTTGAAGCATATTCGATGGCAAATTGACGGATCATCCTTTTCATTAATTCCTGAGCAACTAAGGGAATGTTCGGGTCACAGCTCTGAGGGAGGTCTGGCAAGAGAGAGAAAGACTTCTTAAACAAGAATAAAAAAAAATATATTTTTCTAAAAGAAAAAAGTGAAAGATAAGAAAACACTTAAACACCAGTATCATATGTTCAGGGAGAAACCCAAAACAATTCAAGGTTAAAAATGTAAAAATTCTTCCAAAGTCTCAGGCTGCTGTATAAGAAAGGCAATGGGATGTAATTGCTATTATTTACCAAGAAAAAACAGCAAGGTAACTACATAATTATACTTTCAAGTGAAGGTCTACGGCAGCAGGAAGTTGACAAGCAATGCAAACAGAAGCCAAGTGTTGCATAGACACTGAGGGTGTATACATCCTTTGTGAAGCAGAGATGCAGCACTGTCTGTGTAACCACACATTGTTTGGCAGAAACAAAGTGTGACCTTGTTTGGTTTAGTGCTCTTTAAACCCTACAGCCCAGTTCTGTCTTTTGGGTAGATGTTTGCTTCAGAAGAATCTCAGTAAATAACATGAAATCATTCATACATTAAAACTTGCACGTTAAAACATTTTCTATGTACCTTTCTTCCGAAAGATTGCATGAAGAAACTTGTCAGCTTGTAATTCGATTTTCTCAGTGTTTGACTGGCCCTGAGGAGAAGTTTCTTCTGTTGGAGTTGACTGTAGCGAACAGACAGCTGGAATATGGTCCTGTTTTAAATTAGAATAAACACAGATTAACAAAATACTTAAGTGCTACCCTGAGTTAAGGAGTTACATTTTAAAAGAAATCATGGTAAACATTACCCCAATTTTTTCTAACTGTAGACTGCAGAAAGAACAGCTGGCATCCACGGACCAATCATTAACCACATCTGGTTCACAGTCTATGAAGACACATTTATTACAGTTTTTACTCTGTCTTGCTTCAAACATGCTTAAACACCTGACAAAATGTATTAAATAGTAATAAAAGTGATAGTCATGATGCTTAAAAACTAGCATTAAAAATGAAGCATAAGGAACGCAATTAAGCATTCAATTATTCAGTGAAGTGCTGTGCATACACCTTACCGTCAAATATACTAAGATCTCTAAGAAGCCTGGTTCCATAGATTCCTTCTAATATACTTTCAAATCCTGCGAAAAGAAAAGAAAAATTAGAAACATTACCTGTGGCAGCTTTCCTCACCACTGCTAGGATTACAAGCTGGTATCATCAGATGGGCAGTGGAAAAAAACCCATCACTCCATGCAGCGATAAATCGGTAAAGCCAAAAACTTAATGTTTGACAAAATGTTTCAAATTAAAACTTCACTAAATCAACACTAAGAAACACCATAATGCAGCCTGAGAGCAAGTTTTATGGAATGGGGTTAGAGCTGCAGCATATATTTCGATTATGGCGTGCGAGCAATTACCACCAGGGCTTTAGATAACAGGCATAACACTTGCCCGGACCCTGGCTTTTCAGTAATATACAGGCATTCACTTATGTCCACAATTTGGTAAGCAGATTAGCAGTATGCTTAAAATATTAATAAGGGGCGCATTGTGATGCCCAAAAAGTTAGCAAACTGTATAAATTCAGCGTATCCTTATATCTTTGATTTAATATCAAAAAATACATCCATCCAAAGTTTGACACCGCATATCCTAATCAGAGTCATGGGGGGTACTACAGCCTATACTGGAGGCTACAGGCATAAGGCAGGAAACAACGCAGGATGGGACACCAACCCATCGCAGGGCATACTCACACACCATTATAATAAAAATGTATAATACATACTTTACATATTATTAATATTTTTAAACTAGTAAATAGAGATTAAAAAACGTATACCAAAAAAATCTTTAATTAGGCTACTTCAAACATACATAACATACCATTCCACCTCATTTGTACATCTTGTTTTAAGCGTTTTTGTGGCATTGAGTTTGATTTGAATATCTTCCAAGCAAGGACACACAAGCAGCGAATGCTTAAAATGCCCCACAATTTCTCCCACTGGAAACAGCGCCACTTACACTTTGCTGCGACAGCAGCCCTTGTCTATTACAAGCTGCAGTGAGTACGCAAAACAGCCCAAGCTAGTGACTCCCAAATCATCCATTGTATTTTTATATTACTCGCGTTGTCTTGCACAATTGCGTGCGCTTTGTTAACCCGGATTTTCCACTAAACATTACTTCCACCTCGCAAATCTTTGTTTTTAAAAGATTGCAAATCACTGTGCTGCTAGTTGTTGTAAAACCTTAAAATACTTCCAGATAGTCTCCCTCTTATTTGATGTTCTTATGCTCCTCATACTGCAAGGGGTATGCACATGACATCACAGCAGGAGAAAGTCACTGCGCTCACACATACTGACGGGCAGATAAATTGAGTGGCAGCGTTAGCATTTAGCCTGAATGCCTCAAAAAACATCTAAAATGGGAAAGAGCTGTCATGCTATTGATTGTACAAATACATTTAAAACAAAATAGGAGCTGTCTTTTTAGAGACTGCCAAAAACTAAATAAGTAAGTATCGAACGTGGACCGGTTATGTATGGCCAATACCCCATCCGTCAAATAGGTTAGGATCAGCGCAGATACCAATGCGAATAACGGATTGGTGCATCTCTGAAAGAGTATGCCAAATTTATGCCAGATCACTAACTTCTGGTCTTCATAATATGACTCTTAATATTTTAGGTGTACCACTAATCCGCTTCCCAAATTCAAGGTGTAAGTAAACATCCATATAGTTCAGAAAAGCCAGCATCTGGACAAATGTTTGCACTGGTCATCTAAAGCCCAGGGGTGTTGTTGCACAAAGCACCTTAAGATTTTCCTTTAAGTCCAAGTTAAAGTTTCCTTGAAATAAAACAGTTAGTACAAAACACCTTTAAGTCTATTCCTTAAGGTGTCCTTAAAGGAAAAAAAAACTTGCATGAACATTTTAACTTGATCTTATATATAATGAACCCCTTAAAGTTCCCTTAACACCAACACAAGTAAAGCATCTTAAAATACCGCTCTTAACCACGACACAGAGTTTATGGCAATAAATGAAGAAAACAAGCGCATCCCGAGAAGAGGGTTCCACGACAGAGAACACAATGGATATGATTAATGATGATCAACCGATTTAGCATTAAAGATTTGACTGGCAGTCGATTTATGATTTTACTTATACGGCCCGCAACATGTTTATATTTCATTATTAAATCTGGCTAGCAGATTGGTCTTTCGCTTTCCACAGAATGTAACGTTATTCCACTAATAAGTGCTGGCAAGTTTCAAAAAGAGAGACAGAAGTATCAGTTATCAATCGGATTTCCGGATGAAGAAATACGAAGACGCATGCAAAAAGGTGTTCATTAATGCATTTACCAAAACAATTCCACCTGCACACCACCTCCTTTGCCCGCACTTCCGCCTATCTCCCAAGTTAGCATTGGGGCTTGTCATCAGCTAATCATTAAAGCTTAATCACCATATGCCCCACTCAGTAGTTGTTCTTCCAGCGAGAAGTACCTACTCATAGTGAAGTAACACCAGGGGAAACAGTCTAGATTTTTATCAGGTAAGGATGCAGTGATAAAATCCAGCTTTTATTTTTTATTTATATTCGTCAGATGAATAGTAAGTTTAATTTCATCATTGTCAGTGCACATTTTGTCATGTTTTTGCTTGTTGTTTTCATCATGCAAAAAACCCTTCATTAGGTCATATTTTTATTAAAATTAAAACTGGAGGTGATAACGGGTATGACAAATAGGTGTAAGTGCATGCAAACAAATGGTCTCCATGGAAACTACAATTTTACTGCCGTACAATCTTGCAATGCAATAAATCCTTTAAGGATTTCTCCTGAACTAAGGAAACATTTTAAGGGATTCTGTGGAACACCCTTAAAAAAATCCCTCACTGGTTAAACCTAAAGTGTCATGCTTAAGGGGAAAACTTGAGGTGCTTTGTGCAAACAGTTCCTAGTGATTACTGCACATGCACCATATATTCAAGGTTAAATATTACAATGTGATATGGTGCAGCCCTAGATGGGGCATTTACACAACCAGATGCAAGTCTTCACATGAACCATGTGAAAAATGTTGACAAATGTCCATTCACTTGATAAGTATATAGTAAATAATTTACAGTGAGCCAGCTAGATTTCATTCTTAACATATATGGCTAGTAATTAATTTTAAATTAATGACCAAATTTATGTATTTCGGTGGTCATTTTGTTGCAATAATCTATGAAGCTGAGGGTCTTGTATACCAAACGTGCATGCATTTACTAGAATTCACCTTATACAGTGCATGCAAAAATATTTGTTGTTGATCCAAGATCACTTTACTGGATACAATGATTTTCAAAAGGAAATGGAGTTAGTATTTTACTCCTCCCCAAAACTGCAAGACACTCCTAATTTACTACAATACCCTATAATTCACTACCATCCCCTATTTCTGATTTTTTTTTTGTTCACAAAAATTCACTTTCATAGCCTTTTTGAATTATTATAGGTGATTTATGACAAATGTGAATCACATTCAACCTTTATAGACAGAACATTTTAGTTTTCAGAAAAATGCAAGCATAAATATTAAAGGGGTTATATTGTGAGGTAATACCTTATAGTTAAATAGAAAGAAGATGTCAGTGTTGATTCAGGTATGCCACCTCCGGACCAAATTTATCTGAATAGGTGAGATTAGAAATGTCCAATTCAAAAAGTTTCTTTGAAAACACGTTTGTATATAGTCACTTTAATGGTTAATTTCCATACACTTGCCACACCACAAATCTTCATTAATATATGAAATCTCACATGCCATTATGTTTAATTCAATTTCAGCTTGCACTAATCAAGCCAAGCTTCGGTCTGCTCATATTCTATTTATGACACCCAGAAGATGGCTGTCCATTTTCACTGCAGATAGAGTTTGACCAGTCAGTAAGAGAGCTGCTTAAAAGGCAAGGTAGCTGCCACAAGCTATTAACATTACATTAAATTATTCAGCTTTTGGTTGCACATCTCTTAAATACTTGTAGGTTGACAGCAAAAATCAAAATAAGTCCCTTGCTCACAGACAGTTTAGGTAGCCATTTGATTACACAACAATTAAACAGAATATAAGCTTCTACTTTGCAAGGAACTGAAGATATTTTGCATCACAAAACCACAAATATTCCAAAGGCAAGTTAGCCATGTTGCACATGAAAAACATTTATACTAATATGCACATCTTCAGCAGCTGAACCCTCAACCGTCCTTTCACACCCTCAGCATCACAGTCTTAATGTAACCACAATTGTAATAGTTCTAAAACATCCCAGTGCACCATAATTGTTTGTAATTTACTGCATTGCAGTGTTTCTAACACATTACAGTATAGCAACATACTTTACCCCATGCTCATCCTTACTTGAAATCTAAAAAAAATAATAGTTTTGCAACATTGTAACAGATAGGCATACAGCATAACAGCAACCAAGAAATGCATGTGTACCTCAACAGTATGTACTGTACAGTAATCACTATCCAGTGAAAGTTATTCATGCAAAAGGTCTGTTACATTGTTGAAACAAAATGCCATGTGTTCATTTGAACCTAATCTTTTAACAAGCTTAAATCCTCTAAACACTATTTCACACATCTTGTGAAATACATCACACATCAAGACAAATGCAGTAAAGCAAAACAGCAAAGCTCGTTCAGTTATGATACTCCCAGTCGCTTTGTCATACAGCGTAAAAGTACAAACGGCATTGTAAATCAGACAAATTCATAAATGCTGTTCATACCGATTCCTAAATATAAAGTAATAAAGTAAATATTGGTTACAGTGAATAGTACTAGGTTTTTTTACAAGTCCGCAATACAAGCTTAACTGTACTTAAGCAAAACTTCAGTGTTAATATACAAAATATATGAAATGTCAGTTAAAATGCTGTAATCGTAAGGAACGAATGCGTCCTAAAGGAAAAAAAAAGAAACAAAACAGCCTTTCACCGACAATGTCCGGAACCGCATAACAACCAGAGTTCAACATTTTCTTAGAATCTCAATTGACAATTAAGTCGGTAGCAATATGAATATATCCAAGTAAAATACAAATATTTATGAATGCGTTAAATTCAGACAAACACTGAACGGAGATGGAAAGCTGGCGAGAACAGCTACTTAAAAACTAACACTATATTTGAAGTTGGTAACACTCACCGATTAGACACACATGAAATAATTATGAGAACAGTTGCTTTTAAGCAAAACCTATACTCTTTGTTATATCAAGTAATACTGTATTATTCAGACTGTCTAGTCAGTATCGTTAAAGTTGACCGAGCGAGCTAAAGTCAACCAGCTTCATGACAGAGATACCCGTACCATGAAACAAGCTCCCAACCGAGGCATCAAAAGCGTTATTAGGGATACAAGCACCTCGCTCAAAACACCAGGTAATACACCGTGCAATACCTAAAAAGAGGCAGTTTCTCGTTCATTGTACGACCTGCAGACGCGCGAGCTGGAGAAGAAGCCCGGTAAGAGCGAGCGGGGTCGCGTTTATAAAACAACACGGTCACGTGAAGCCGACAAAGGACAGCCGTTAAGATTTCGGTGAGTATGGGAAAAATAAAAGCGAAAAAGGCCCCGGCTCGGTCCACAACTTCCTCACATGGCCAGAATTCTTTTCAAAAAGAGCCGCGTCAAAGTCCTTGGCGCGACGAAGAGTTTTTGTTTTTTCCTCTTTTAAATTTTTTTATGCACACTTCATAACTCATTTTAGATAGAGATTCTCAGGGGAGGGGGGGGGAAGGGGGGATATGGGACGTTAACCGGAACACCGAAGAGTCAAGACAAAAGAAAATGGAGACAGGAATCTGGTAGCTAGCCTGCCAACTACCTCTTCAATTCAATATAGCTCAAAAGCTAGTTAGCAGATTAGCCGGATTGTGTAGTAAAGCAAACACAAAGCAGCACTAACCGCAGTCGCACCAAAAATATACACACGACATACAAATCAGAAAATGCACCGCCTATTCTTACCTACACAATGGATCAATTTGTGTCGCCAGGAGTCGAGTTCCCGCCGGAATCCTTTTCTCTCTGCCGTACATTTCGAGCTACGGCACTGGGTAGCCATTCTGCCTGTTCTCCTCTACCTCTGCGCGTGACGTCACTCCCTGACTCTACATCTTACGCTCGGTTGATTGACACGTGTCACACGAGCACGCGGAGGAGGAGCTTATCAAATTAACATGAGATGCTGTTAGTCAAAGGTGACCCAAGCTACAGGCTAATTATTCTTCTTGCATTATAAGAAATAATAGGAGATGTGATCACACTACTGTGTAACACTGTAAATTTTATGTTAATGTTTTTATTTTATGTCCGATTCTCAAGTTGTTTTTTAAAGGCTAATATGAATATTAAACTATTGAATATATGTCCACTGTTATATGTAACAGATATACAACTGGTACCCATGCATCTTATTGTTAACAAAAATGATTGCACAGTTTTGGCATATTCTCATTCTTTGTGTTTATCACTTAGTAACATCTTCTCTAAACAGTACATTTGTGATTCAAGTTCATAATACATATGCATGAATATGAGTACAGTTACAGAAAATTCTGTAACAGAAGAAACTGTTAGGTGTTACATCAGGACTTGAGTTGCATGTGGATGTCATTCCTCCCCCCACATCCCCTCCCCCCATGGGGAAAAAATGACAAAAACCATACCCTTTGAAAATATACCATCCCCCCTCACCACTTCCCTAAATTATCCTCTGCAATTTCACTTACATAAAGATAAATCTATATAAGGGGTCCTGAACTGGCAATCTGGCAAAATCTAGACCAAAATAAAATTCCCCCCCCCAACACACACACACACACACACACACACATTTTATAGTTGAGGACTCGCCCCTGGCTTGGCAAATTTTATTTTAAATACACCCCCCCCCCCCCAAAAAAAAAACAATTACGACCAGCTAAGCATAAAATAAATTATCATTAAATTCCTAGAATAAATGCAAATAAAGTTATATAGTAAGATTGCTTACGATCACTCAGAACGGGCTGCCTAGATGTCATGGTGATATTAAACTATAGCCTTTCCATAGTACAGCCTAGAGATAATCACAAATTCGCCTGAGATTCAAGAGTTCTCTTTACTGTTTTTCTGTGCATCCAACAATTCAGGCACTGCTATATCCAGCACTATATTATTTTTGGTGTCTGCTGCAATACTACACATAATCACTATACCAAATTAGGATTTTTGTTTCCGTATTGTTACTGTAAATATAGTAACATGGGGCTCTGTGGGTTAGAAGTTAATGCCTTTGTCCTGAAGATTGCTGGTTCAAATTCTGTAGCCTGCAGAAGAATTATATCTCTGTTGGGTTCCTGAGCAAGACCCTGAACCAATTCCTCTAGGGACACTGGTGTAATGGCTGACCCAATGCACTGTCTCCAAGGATAAGTTTCCCTTTATATGTCTGTGTGAGTGTATCTGTGTTCCGTATTAGAGCAAAATGTGGTGCGCTGAAAGTTGAAATTTCCTTGTATTTGCTACTAGCACAATTACAATAAAGGCATTTTTTTTGCAGCATGAGCTGGTGTTTGTATTACTGTACTATCAGTAGTACTATCAAGTACTATCAGTACTATTTGTGTAGTTCAGCAAAATATATACTGTTAACAATACACTTTGCAATGGAATAACTGCTAGGCAGATCCACTTCGGACCTGCTATTTCATCAGATGCGGACACCCACCATTTGCTGTTTAAGCATTGTTTTACATAATGAGGAGTAAGACACAAACACAACGATTCACCTAGACATGTTAAACAGTATTTTATGCTTTAAAATACAAGGAATAATACAATTCACTGACAGCAAAACAACGCTCATTTGCATAGTGTGCCACCATTGGCCCTTAGCCTTACAAGTGTTTCTGGCAGAACAGAATCACTAAATGACAGACAAATGCAGATTATTTACAGTGGCATTTACAGATATTTATTATGACTTTAACACTGCCTGCTGCTATGATATTAAATAGGTCTGACACTTGTCCAGATGAATTATTTCCTATTTTTAATGTGCAGAATATAGATGACAACCAATTATCATTTACCAGTCGATGGCTAGAAAATGTTACAAAGAGGAGGACAAAGAAAACAGGTGTATAGAAAGTCCTTGGCACATTCTTTTTAGTCGACTAGGCTTGAATTATGAGTTTGTATAAGTTAAAGAGGCACATGGTTGATTAGGTCCTTGTTTGTTACTCAGTAGGATGTCAGAATATTTTATTCCGGATGTTGAAAAGATCCTCAAATGTCAGAATAATTATGGCCCAGCAGGCAATTAAAATACCATCAATGCATTTCTGTCATATTTAGAAAACTGTTTAATGAGTCACGGCCACAAGTATCTGATGTAAATAAATAATGCACATATAATAAGATTCAAAAGCCACATGTTTTTGAAGAATACAATTCCAGTAGTATAGGACTCCAATAGGGGAATTATTTTCTGAAAATAACATGTAAGGGATGAAAAAAGGAATGTTGTTTTTTTCTCTCTTTTTCCTTCTTTCTTATCGATCTATCTAAGAAAATTTATCAGCTGAATAGGGAAACACAGACATTTAAAAACAACAGTACAGACAAATATATGATTGTGGCGTATGTGTATATTTACAATTCATAGCATGTTTCTTTTAAGTTAGCTAATATACCAAAAAAACAAAGGATTGAACAGTCTATGCCCAACACCAGCACCAATGAAATTAATATGATATATATTTTTATTACTAAATTCCAGAAACAGAATAATTGACCAAGTATTATCTTCACTTTAATCAAGTTTTAATTATAATCCATAGAGAAATACTGACATAATTTTTGATTACTTTAATTGCACTTTAGCTGCATTGCCACAACTTAAATCTATAATTATATAAATTTAACAAATATTTACTTTATGACCCTAAATGGCGGACAAAAGTGTAACTATAATAAACATTGTTGTAGGCAAATATAGTAAATATTGTGGTTTACATGTACAGTGGCCAGTTTCTTAAGCATATCAACTTGCTAATGCATGCAGTCGATTCCTCCAAACAGCCACTCATATATATACAGTAGCTGTAACTGAAAACACACAGCATGACAGGGGTCAGGAGGTTCACCGTTATTCAAATAAGTATTAAAATGGCTAAGATGCCTGATCTAAGCAATTGTGAATGTGGTTGGTGCCAAACATGATAGTTCCAGCGTCTGAGATACAGCCGTCCTCCTAGATATTTCACCCATTATGGTGTGTGTACAGTTAATGGTGCGATGAACAAAAAATCATCCAGTCAATGGTACAACAGAGGGGAATAGCCATAATTGTTAAAACTATCGGGAAGACCAGAAGCACAAAATACCAGGCCGGTACAATAGCGCAGTGTAGAACGGCTTCTCTAAATATACAACGTGCTTTATATAAAATTCAGATGCAACCTTCAAAAAGGTTCTGGAGGAGATAATGGGTTCTACCCAGTACTAGCTAGGTGTATCTAATAAAGTAAGTCTAAATACATTTTTCACAAAATAAGTTTATTTGTTTAAAGTGGTATTAGATTAGGTATTGTGTCTATTTGCGTCATTAACCTTAGGGTGCTCTGGTACCATGTAGAGTCATGACCTGCCTTGTGCTCAAACATGGTGATGTTTTATTATGGACGGTCCATGGCTTGCAAAAAAAAGTCCAACAACAATCCACCACTTGGGCTTAGATCTGGCAGCTCATTCCTCCAGATCAGCCGCTCCTGGTGCCTCCATCATTCCTCATCTGTGCTTCTCCTAGGAGGACCACAGAGTCCATATAAGGCACCCTTTCCAGCAAGACAGGGTATTCCTAACTGCAGTTCACATATGCATGGACATAACTCTCTTCCTATGCCCCCCCCCCCCCCAGGAAAAACTGCACAGCCCATCCCCACACCTGATTACTCACAATAGGGAAATCCAGGCTAGGGGTGATTCCACCCCAAAGTCAACGTTTTTTATTTGCCACATGCAAGCGAAACGTTAAAAACTTGCATGATTTATTTTTAGTGTTTTAGCACTCTCTAGCTTTGGCATTGGTGCGACACCATACTTTTCCACTGCGATACAAGAACGGAGCCGTACCGCGAAGAGAGAGTAGCTCCAGTGCGGTTCCCTTTGGTTTTCCACTGCAGAAGGTTCAGCTTGGTAAAAGCGTTGCCACACTGACAGAACGACTGTGGCGTAAAACAAAGAGACGCTTATTTACTGTTCACACGGTGTGCATCCTGATTTACTGTGTGCTAATTTCCTAATTTTCTAGCACATCTGTGAGAATCTCCGTGTTATGCAAGCATGAAACGCTAGTGGAATTAGCATTCTCTTGCATAAATTTGCATTACGAATCCATTCCGTGTAGCTGTTCTATGGTACTGTTTTAAGTTGGAGGTTCCGAGTTATCGGAAATGCATCAATAGATCGTGATGTGCAGTACTACTAAAAATGAGTAATATATAGAATCTGCCATTTTCCTTCAGATAATCAATGCGCAGAACATTGGTATTTCTGTGCATTTTGACCAATCAGATGGCGGTGATGCAACCGGCTTGGTTTGGTAAGGCATTTTGGCCCTGCCAGTAAGCTGGGCCTTGTCAGCATGGTTACGGCTCGGGTCCGCATACTTTGCAATGAAAAACTGCCAGTTCACCTTAAGGTTCTGTTCTTGGCATTTTCAGGCTCCTTCCCCACCTAAACACCAACATTTCTAAGCCAATGTCCATTGGCAAGGTCTATTTTAGACATTGTACTTTTTATGGGGAAGTCTCCATTCAATTCACATAAAGGTATTATTGCTGCTTCTGTATAATTATGGTTAGAGACTGCACATTATTTTGACATATATTACTATCAACCTGATATGAACTTATTTGCACAGATAAATCAGTACATTGTTGTGCTATTTTGCTTGACAGATTCCTTCAGCTGCTGCACTCACGTTGAATTTTTTAATAACCTTGAGAGTAATTAATTTGGTTTGCAGCTTTAAAAAATTTATTCCAATTTCCTTGACAGATTTTCTTGATAGATGCACTGCCCTCAGAATAACCCTGAATTATAGTGATAAAAAAATAGTTTTGAAGCGATACTGACATCTACAAAAGCACAAATTACTATAAATTATACGAAATTGATTACATTCATTGAAATAATATCATTTCAGCTGTTTTTTCTCTTAATTTGCTATAACTGCATGATAGAAAAATGTATTTTACAGTTTCACCTGGGCAACTTTTAATTGTGCTATAAACAAATAGATTAATGATACTCTTATTACCACAGATTAGTGTTGATGGGTATCAGCTGGCATTATGGGGGGTTTTCTCAGTATCTCCCACCTCCCCAACTATGGTAATCTTGTAAATGTGCCTTATGATGAACTCTGCATATAGGTTTTCCACCATGATTTTTTTTTCCCTCCTGCCATGTGGGTTTGTATCACAGTTTTGCAGTATGAATTCATCCAACTGGCCAGTGAAAATGATTTGAATAATATCCATTTTGATGAGCTGCATGTATTCCATCTGACACCAAAAGACCATCCCAAATCATATCAATGAGAATGTAACAAAATAAAGTCAATGTTTTATTAACTGGTACCCTGTC